CAACCGAAAATAGAGTTCTGGGCGGTAGGAAACCCAGGATAAGCAATAAGTTCGCCTCTTATGATTTTATGATATACATCCCCACCGAAAATCAAGGCGACGGCAGAGGAAGTGTGGAAACCAGGATCGGCGAGCTTGAGGTTAATGAATTTGTCCCGCGTCGCTTGGCTGAGATGACGAGCGGGAGTTTTCAACCCGATCTCCGCCAGTACCCTCGCCGGCAAGGAGAATCGCACATGTGCATCATTTGACGAGCTTACGTGGAGCTCGCACATGCTGATATTCGCCACGGGCACCGTCTTTAGGCGGAGCCGGTGCACCAGCGCGTGGCAAATTTTGCTCGTTTGCGAGCAAGGGTCTATCAGAGCCCGAGCTAAAATTTTCCGAGGCCCAATGTGTAGGTAAACCGCAACGGTGGGTAGAACGGTGACTGTTCCCGAAAGCTGCGTTAAAAGTAGGGGAAGTTGGCGTCGGGGAGAAAGACGGTGGTTTGCATGCAACAGGGTGTGATGCTTTTCCTCACAATATTGGCACGTCCCGTTGCTCAGACAGTTCTTGGCCGTGTGGGAGTGGGCTAAACATCGCGAGCAATATCGATGGAGAAGCACAAGGCGCAGCCGGCGCTCGTAGTTGGCATCTAAGAATCGCCTACAATGCCGGAGAGGATGCGACCGGTGGCAAACTCTACATTTGGACCTGCCTTCCCTGGCTGCGCGCTGGGCGGAGGCATCTGTCGGTGGCGGTGGAGGCGAGGCGCGTGGCGATGATGGTGTCGATCGGTCTACGGGAACTAGTTCCATGGTCTTGATGCTAAAGCGGAAAAAAAAGGAAAGTATTGATATGAGGGGTTAGTTTGGTAAGACCACTAACTTCACGATAGGTCGCGTTATCAATCCCTTTTGTGTGCGAATGTCTGCAACACGAATTCTTTTATCGGAGCCTTTATAAATCTTTGTGACCCTGCCCAAGCGCCACTCGTTAGGAGGGAGATTTTCATGGCGAACTACAACTAGGTCATCGACGGCGATGTCTTTTTGAGGGGATTTCCATTTGTAGCGTTTATGGAGTTCTTTGAGATATTCCTCTTTCCATCGCAGAGAGTGTTGCTGGCTAAGAGCCTTTATTTTTTGCCACCGATTAATTATCGAGACTGGGTTTGCTTCTATGGAGGGTTCGGGGGGAGAAAGTATGGGACCCCCCGTGAGAAAGTGACCAGGTGTGAGGGCTGCACAATCTGCGGCGTCGGTGGAATTGGGCGATATCGGCCTAGAATTTAGACAGGATTCAATGCGACAAAGTAGGGTTTGAAACTCTTCAAAGGTGAATTTTTGAGAAGCGGCGGTACGTCGAAAATGAAATTTGATGCCTTTAACTCCAGCTTCCCATAGTCCTCCCATGTGAGGAGCGCCGGCAGGGATAAGGTTCCAAGACACCTCCTGATGACTGTACATATTGCACAAAGACTCCCGCGACGTGGTTAGGAATTTCTTGAATTCCTTTTTCAAGTTAGCTGCCGCACCTACAAAATTGGTCCCATTGTCCGAAAAGATTTGCTGAGGGCAGCTTCGTCTAGATATGAATCGCGAGAATGCGCCAAGAAAGGTCTCTGTGGACAGATTGCTTGTACCTTCCAGGTGAATTGCCCGTGTGGAAAAACATACAAATATGCAAACATAACCTTTGGTGATTTTACATGCTCTACCAGTGAAACTCTTAATATCAAATGGGCCGGCAAAATCGACTCCAGTATTTTGAAAAGGCCTGGAAAGGGTCGTTCGCTCTTCAGGAAGGGCAGCCATGATTTGGGATTGATTCCGCTTTTTATGAATGACGCAAGTTCTGCAGTTATGAATGACAGTCTTTATGAGATTCTTTGCCTTTGGAATCCAATACTGTTGGCGAAGCAGCCGCAGCATCAGTTGATTTCCTCCATGAAGAGAAATGTTATGGATCAAGTGAACTAACAACCTTGAGAACGAACAACTATAAGGTAGAAGAATGGGATGTTTTTCATTATAAGATAAAATTAGCGAATTTGCGAGTCGACCATTGACTCTCATTATACCCTGACAGTCTAAGAAGGGATTCAAGGTTAAAAGTTTGCTTTTCGGCGAAATTGGAGTTTTTGAAGTCAGACATCTCTGTTCTTCCAAAAAATGCTTCATCTGTGCCAGAATTATAAGCCGAATACGAATTTTCGAGATTTCCTCTCCCGAAACCGCTAGCGATGGATACGAGTGGAATCTTCGAGTGTGCCGGTTAGTCCTGTTGTAAAACCGGAAGACGTAAGCTAAAACACGCAGTGCGCGCGGAAGAGATGAAAATCTTTCTAAGGGATCCTCATGGCTTGACACAAGCGAAGCGTGCGCCTTTATTTTCCTTGCTTCGATCGTGATATCGTCCAGTTCGTCATCCATTGATGGCCATTGCCCTGCATCTTTACCTAACCAGGAAGGGCCGTACCACCACAACTCGCTTGCGCATAAGTCCTGAGGGTATGCTCCTCTGCTGCCAATATCTGCTGGATTATCCTTCGAGTCCACGTGATTCCAATGCCTAAATCCGACTAATTCCTGTATCTTTGCTACTCGATTTGCGACAAAGGTGGTCCAGGAGCAGGGCCGCTTTTTGAGCCAAGAGAGAACGATGGTTGAGTCTGTCCAGCAAAATATGTTTTCCACCTTGAAAGGAAGTTCACTTAGAAGAGACCTAAGCAACTTTAGTTTTTGCTAATAAAAGGTGCGACGACACTGTACCGTGGTTTTCTACCCGCAAATATATCACCCCCGCGTATGCCTTTTCCGACGCGTCGCAAAAGGCATGGACTTCGAATGGTGACTCAATGGTGAAATTCACCCAACGCGGAATTTTTATGTCATCGATATACCTATAACTTTCTACAAAGGTTTTCCATTTAAAAAGTGTTTGAGAACTTATAGGCTGATCCCAGAGAGTACCATCTGACCAAATTTGTTGCATCACTATTTTAGCTACGACCACCACCGGAGCTAGCCAACCAGCTGGGTCAAAAAGTTTCGCTATCGTTGACAACACTTCTCGTTTAGTGTAGCTATCCTTTGAAGGGAGGGTCTGAACGCTGAAGAAAAAATGGTCTAATCTAGCATTCCATCTAATCCCTAGTGCTTTTGTTGTGCTTGTCTCATCTAAAGTTAAAAATTCTCTCTTTAATAAATGCTCATGAGGAAGATCCATGAGGATTTCCTTGGAATTTGAAGACCATTTCCTCAAAGAAAATCCTGCACTATCAAGTGCTTCTATCAGCTGGTCTCGTGCCTGTAAAGCTGTGGACACATCGTGAAATCCCGCTAAAACGTCATCTACATACATAGAATTTCGTAAAATCTGAGCCGCTAGTGGATGTGAATCATGAGAATCTTGAGCTAACTGCCGAAGAGTCCTAATTGCCAAGTATGGCGCACAATTAACTCCAAACGTTACCGTCCTTAACTGAAAATCTTGTATACCACTATGTGGATCCTTTCTAAAAAGAATCCTTTGATAGGGCCTATGAGACGGGTTAACTAAAATTTGCCTGTACATTTTTTGGATGTCACTATTAAACACGTATTTATACATCCGCCATCGTATCAGTAGCAAGGTCAAATCAGCTTGAAGGGTTGGGCCTACATGTAAAATATCGTTAAGACAAACTCCATTCGAAGAATTGCTGGACGCGTTGAAAACTACCCTTAATTTCGTGGAAGTACTTTCCGGTTTCAAGACTGCATGATGAGGAAGGTAGAAATGACTAGGAGAATGTTCAAAACTTGGAGCCTCTACTTTCTCCATGTGCCCTAGATCCAAATATTCTTGAACAACCTTGTCATACTCTTCCTTTAAAGATGGATTTTTCGTTAACCTTGCTTCGTTACGAATAAATTGCCGAAATGCAATGGGACGCGATGATCCTAGCTTAACATCCGTTGGATAAAAGTTTTTAAACGGTAGCGAAACCACGTATCTTCCTTCCGAATTCCTAGTAGTTGTTTTCAAGTACAGCTCTTCACAAAACATATCCTCGTCGGATTGAAGGTTATTTTTTGGGACTTCCTCTAACTCCCAGAACTTGCGTAGTTGGCTATCTAACGAAATGTCCTCTCCCATTGAGACTTTTGTAGCAAAGCAAGAGACGTGTGCAGTGGAAGATGCCCCAGTGACAATCCACCCGAACACCGTCTCTTGAGACAGAAGGTTGTATTGAATACTACGTTTTACCCCGTCTAACATAACCTTGGGGTACAAATCTCCTCCGATCAAAACATCGATAGGACCGCTTTGCAAAAACTTCGAATCTGCTAAAGGTACTTTAGGCAGTTTTTCTAGAATGGATTCATCTATTGAGGTCGAGGGTAAGTTACCAGTGATTTGTGGTAATACAAACGCAGTAGCTTCTATTAAAAGATTTGGATCACGGGGTGAGCCTAAAACAAACGAACAAATTTTCGATGCGCTGTTAGAAACCCTTTGATTCAATCCCGAAATAACCGCATTTGTCTTGGAATACGGTAGTTTTAAAAGTTTTCGAAGTCGTTCAGAAATAAACGAGGCTTCTGAAGCTGAATCAATTAAAGCTCGAGCTATATAAGTTGAGCCCAAGTGGCAGATGTGAACCATGGCGGTTCCAAGTAGAGCTGAGGATAAGCCTGACGATTTCAAATTTTCCTCAGCTGTCGACAACATACTGTTCGAAGAAGCGGACTGTATATTTGTATGGAATGCCTGTGAAGCAGTTCCACCTGCAGTTTCTTTTGGGGGTTGAGTGTTAAAAGACACTCTGTGAAGTAGAGTATGATGTCTACTTTTGCACTTAGTGCACGAGAATTGACTTTTACAGTCTTTTATCGAATGGCCTTTTGAAAGACAGTTTAGACAGCAGTTGTGTTTTTTAATTGCAGTGAACCTATCATTAATCGAAAGTGACAAGAATTTTGTACATAAACGCAAAGGATGTTGTTGTTTTTGACACATTATGCAGTAAGACTGAGAAATATTTGTCGCCAGAGACACCTTCTTTTGACCCGCCGGGTTGGGTTGATGTGAGAATGCTTTTTGATGTTGGTTGGTTGAAGAAGATGAAGCTGACCATTTCACATCCACTATCGATTCCAAAGTTCTGAAGCGTTGAGTGAGAAATGCATCCATCTGACTCCATTCCGGTATAGCAGCTTTATCTAGTAGTGTTTGTTCCCACAGAGAAAGTGTTGTTTCAGGGAGTCGGTTTGAACACAGGAAGATTAGGATCGGATCCCAATTCCCAACGTTGACGTTATACGTTGCTAACGCTGATAGACATCCGTTTATGCCTCGCTGGAGCTCCTTTAACGCGGGTGCACTTTCGGTCCGAATAACCGGAAGCGAAAAAAGCAGCTTCAATTGCTTGTTGACCAAAACCCGTTTATTTTCGTACGCTGCCTTCAAATTTGACCATGCGATGTCGAATCCCTCATTTGATAGTGGGGGTTTGCTAACGATGTCTCGTGCTTCGCCGCTTGTTTTATGTCGAAGGTGGAAGAGTTTTTCGATGTTACTCAGATCCGCATTATTAATGTAAATCGCGGTGAAGAGATCACGGAAGGATGGCCACGACACATAGTCACCATGGAATATTTCTGTGTCACATGGCGGTAGGTTCAAATTATTGGAGCGCTTGGGTACTTGGGCAGGGGGCACATAAGAAGCAGTATCAGCCGTCACGCTGTACTTCTGAATGCCTTCGCTAATGCGCGACAAACACGAAAGATAATCTTTAAAAGTTGAAGTCTACCTCATCTTCATCTTTCAGAGTTTGTAAGCATTTTTCGCATGCATTTTTAGTTTTAGACCAAATGTCTATCAACTCCATTTTCAAAATCTCTAAAGAAATTTTCGAATGCTCGTTCAAAGTCGCTTCATCGAATCCCGCATTGAATTCGACAATCTGATCTGAGCACCTAGTGAAATAACTTAAGGTAGACATACTTGTCAAAGAACGAGAGTCGATTTATGTACAAATAACGAAAGAACTAAATTATTGAAAAACACGAAAGGAATGATAAGCGCCACCAATTAATCGAAAAACAGCAAATACTGATTGACTTTAAACTAATGATGTAAATATAGAAAGTTCCTACAGGGTCAATGCAAAAATTTCCTACTGGGTCACTTGTGCTAATATGTATATGCACTTGTAGGTATGTAGGTGTGTATGAATGTAAATACACAGGCGACTAAGCAAAAAATGCAAAGTCACCAGCTGAGCGCCAACACGAACAAAAGGTGCATGCAATAGGAAAAAACCGAAAATGCACCGATACGGGTAAATATGTGCTGTATGTACTTGTATATAAATGTACGATTGTTTATATGTACTTAGGCACGCACAGTAAAGTAGCGAAAAATGTCGCGATGCTGATTATATACACCAAAAAAAAAGATCTCTCAGTTCGAGAGATTGGAAATGTAAATATGTATGTATGTATATAAACTTATGTATTTACATATATTTAGTAAATAAGGAATACACCAAATTCGAAGATAAATAATACAGATAGATGTGGCCGAAATTAATATTTGAATATACTATGCTCCAAGATTTTCCGAAAAAATTTTATTTTAAAGAGATCACCACCAAAATAATTTGATTAATTGGAAACGATTTAAATCTTTTGAGTTATCGAGATGCGTTTAAATGCAAAAAGAACGTCACTTTCTTGTACACAATGACCACATATATCTGTATATAAAAATGTATGTACACAAGTAATTTTGTATGCACATATGCACATATGTATGTATTTGCACACAGAATTGCAGAACCAAGTGAAAGAAAAGAAAACTCACTTATGTATTTATAGTTCGATTTATGCATTCACTTTCACGAGTTGCTTTTTTTGTATATACTTTAAATAATATGTATATGCTTTTGATATGCACAATATATTTGTGTGGAAAGGTATTATTTTTCTTTTGGTTTTTATTTTCTTTCACTGCTTCGACTATGCATATGTACATACGTAAATATATGCTTGTTTATGTATTTTCGCACTTTTTGTTTTATGTATTTTGCTTATATATTTGCACTTTTCCTGTACAACTTGACTAAGATGGCACTGATTATTTTTTTTCGAAAATTTATAGAAGAAAAAACACTTTCGCTTTAACTTTTATTTCTACCTCTATCGTTTTTTATTCTTTTTTGCAGAGCTCAACAATTTATGAATTTTTTCACACGCACCTGTATGTTTGTATGTATTTCGTTTAATATAGCTGAGTTGACTTGTTCGTGGTTTCCTCGGACTTTTGCTCCTCGATCGGGCTTTTGTTCTTAAAAAGATTTGCTGGCTTTTTTCTTCCTTCTCTGCTGAAATTCGGGTTAGAGTTAGGTATTGATGTACATATGTACTTCCGCTGTTATGTATCGTGGGAGTTCGACGGCTCAGGAGGACCAAAATGTTTTGCTGAGAAGCAAAACCAACGTACGCCGGTGCGAACTCACGACGATGTATCACAAGGAAAGAAAGAAATATAAACACTTGTATTAGATTAAGTATATATGTATGTAAGACGGTTTATTGCAAGCGCATATACGAAGTTATATGCCTTACTCAAATACGATGTACATAAGCAAAGTAGGACAAAGGAATGGATGTTCACAATATACATATGGATTACCTTAAATAGTGATCGCTGACTCAATGCTGCTGTCGGTCTGGCTGCTGTCATCAAAAAGAACCGCAGTTCAAACCGAACATCGCATTAAATAATCTTGAACTTCGAAAGAAGCCCACCGGTAGTTTTCCCGCAGCGGTGTAGCTTTGCAGCGAACAGCGGTGCAGAACACTTACCAGTGGTTCCCAACTATTGAAGGCTTTTGGCTTCAACAGTTATAATTGATCAAAGTGAAATTCAGATAAATTATAGATGATATGAAGTTCACCGGGTCATCTTCTAGTCTTTAATATATACTAAGCTAATATATGGATTAATATTTACTAAAGTGTTACGAACGTTATTTTTTTAATACAATAAGAAAAAAATAACTATAATTTAAAGCAGTGATGGGAAAAATTGTATTTACTAAGTATTAAGTACTAAGTACAAAAGTATTTAGGTATTTTGTGTTGTTGTAAATACCAAAGTACTATTTACTTAGGTATTTAGGAGCTGCTAAATACCCAAGTAC